TATATATATATATATATATATATATATATATATATTCTTAGGTCAATCTTATTCAACAACAATGTTTTTATTATAATTTTTAATGGAATATATAAAGTATATAAAACAAATGAATAAATAATTTATCAATGATTCATAGTAAGTTTCATACCTTATCTATTTCGAAGTCAAACACTTGATTCACTCCATTAACATAAAGATCCATGAACAAGGAAGGTATCAAAGCCTGAAACAACTCAAAAGAATATTTATTATTGAGGTTAAAGGTTATTTTCAGTTGTCTGTTTAAAAAACAACATATTTGGAGTGTCACCTGTAACAAACCAATAAAAAACAACGGAGATATATCTGATAGTCTTTCTACTGCAACGAGAGACGCAGAAATTGTCGTTGCCGTCTATAAAATACAGATAAAATTAATTTGAAACAAAAACAGTATTAATTATCTAAATGGGAATTTAATATCAAGGAACAAAAACTCAGTATTGACCATAACTTTTGAACGTGAATTATGAGAGTGATGGAAAAGTTTGTATTTACCCGACCATACATTGCGTAAGGATAAATAAATTGGTACATAACAGCCATGAAATTTTTGACAGAGTTGACAATGTTATTGGAGTTGGAAGCTTCAGATTCTGACTCAGAAGATGGTACATTGACGGCTTTCGCAACATAACTTTTATTGCTTTCTTCATATGTTGGTCCTCTTTCAGTGTTTTTGTAATGGTTATTAAACGGTGATTGTTGAAACCTCAAAGGATTGTACTGTATTTGAGCTTTTATATTGTGCTTAGAAGATTTTGATCCACCAGAACCTAATGTAACACGTGTTCAAAGTTGTAGCATGCACAACAGAAAGATAGATTTAAAATTAATGAAACTAAATCATGGCAAGATGATGAATTGAGAGAATGATAAATTTGAAAGTGGAAATAAGAAAAATCGTGGTAAAATAACTGTAGTTTTTTTGGGAGAAGTCAAATTCAATAGTCACTATTACTTACACGAAAAAAATTATTAATAATGTATAATATTTATAAAAACAACTTTTATTGATTTTCAAACGTAATATTTGTTTTACGTGTTCTTCTATAATTTTTGTATTTTTTCTTTTAATAATAATTTTATAAGAAGATATATAATTAATGATTTTGAGATACTAGATATTAAGTTTACCTAGTGATTTTTTATGGCTCTTTTATGAGGGGCTTTTATTGGCAAAATTCAAGTCTAACAAATTTTGAGTTTCATTCACTTAAATGATTGATAATATTTTCAATCTAAAATCTCAAAAGTTTGAGTTTTTATTTTTATAAGTTTTACCTAACTTGAACTTAAACTCATAATTACATTCCAATAAATAAAGATAATATATATATATATATATATATATATATATATATATATTCTAATAATGTGAAAGAAAGAAAATATAAGCAGCCTGGTTTTTTTCAAACCTAAAATTTGTTTATATGTAAGGTAATTTATAAATCTGTTTCATGCTTTTATTTCTTTAAAAGTAATTTTTAATTCATACAAAAATTATGCAAAAGTTTATTTCATCTTTCGTTTTATTTTATTTTGCTCAATATTTGTAAAAAAAACTTATTCACAAATGCCTTTAATAATTTTGAAAATATTTATTTTATCTATTAACACAAAGAAAGACATTATATGTCTTCTAAAAAATGAATGAATTTTTTATTTTGAAAACAAAAACTTAGCATTACGGGTCCATAACACTTCTACTTATGGTTAGACGCTGAAAAGTCAAATTGACCTAGCTTTGCAATTAATATGTTTACCTTGTTACTTTTAATTATGAAAAAAATGGTTTTACAAATAAATAAATTAAATGTATACTTATATTTCATAAGAATTTATTTATTAATTTGTATAAACTTTTAAATAAAGATATTATTATTATTATTATTTATTACTAGCGTAAATATATGTGCAATATAGCATGTGTGTTCGTATTTTTAAAATGTTTGCATTATATTATAAGTTAATAATATATGTAAATTGATTAAGTTAATATATAAGAGAAAAATAATAAAAATAGTAAAAAGTAACTAGTTAGCAGTAAAAACTATATATATATATATATATATATATATATATATATATATAAGAGAAACATGTAATTAGATTATAAAAGAAAAACATGTAATTACAAAAAAATATTACAAAAAACCGATTACTTCTAACAAATCAATTAACAATTATATTTTTTAAAAGATCACATACTAATTAGATTATGAAAGATAATATGGAAATAAAAATTGTGTATACAAAAACAGATATCTCTTCATATATAGGTGTAAGTATAAGAGAAAAGTAATAAGAAGAATAAGAAGTAATTGAATATCGAGAGTAATAAGAAGCTATTGAATGTTAGAAATAAAAACTACAAATATAATAAAGAAATAAAAAAACATATAACAGTTTTATATAAAATATTTCAAAACAGTACTTACTTTTTAAAAATCGATTAATATTTATATTTTTTAAAATTCAATTAAACATTATATTCTAAAAAGTAAAATGAAAATAAAAATTAAGTACACAAAATATATTCTCTTTATATATTGGTACAAATTATTATATATAAAATAAAACGACATCAACTGACTTGTTCAACTAACTTGTTCAATAGAAATGGCTAGTAAAATATATAATAAATAAGATTAACCGAGACATTAACTTTTGTCATTTTGGTACTACGAGAAAATAAGTATTTAGAGTCAGTAAAAACTGATACTTACAAGCAAAAAAGTGATGCTAAATAGATATCATTGTCAGCTTTTACACTGGATGTAAATGCCACACTAAATTCATAGAGGTTAATGTTAGTGTCAGATTTTTACCAACTTTAATTAGTGTTCATTTAACCAAAACTAAATCATAATTATTTTAAAATTATTTTTTTAATTGATATAGTTAATTATAATAAATTAGGAAGATGATTGTGAATTAAAAAAAAATAAGTTTTGAATAAAAGGAAATAAGTATGAACGAATGAGACGAGAAAAAAAATGAATATTATGAAGATATGAGAAAAAATATAAATAAATGATATGTTCATAGATGTAATGAATGAATATGGATGGAGAAGATGAATCCAAGTAAAAGAGATGAGTGTTGATGAAAAAATATGGATGTGATAAAATTTATCAACGAGAATGAAAAAAGATGAATATGATAAAAATTATATAGAAAGTGAAAGAAAAAAATTATGAATAAGAGGATTTATTATTATTTAAACTTGATCTTTAGATTAAAAGTAATCTATGGTTCAATATTCAGTGTGAATAATTCACATATATTCATAATAAATATTTTAATGTTGGCTAAGCAGATACAAATTTTAAAAATAAACTAAAACAAATGAATAAAATTAGTCTAATATTTATATGCTAAACTTTTTTTAAAATATTTATATTTATTTAACTCAATGTAACGGATACTAACTATAAAAAAAAATAAACTTAACATTTTCTAAGTTGACGCTAAAATTATTTGATTTTAATTATTAATTTATATAACAGTCTATACCAACACAAATCTTTATTTAATAAAAAAATTTATAAATAAATTTACTCTTTTTTATTATTTTAAAATTAATCTTGTGTCATATTACATTAAATGATAAATTTATGTTTTCTTTTATATATATGTATATATTAATTATTTTGTGAAGGGTGATAATTAGAGGTGATTGCACCACCTAATAGATGAAAAAATAGATTTTAGTGTGAGATAGTAAGAAAGCTAATCAAATAACTATAATATAGTTTAGATGAAGGAATAGGGTATAACTGAAGAGACATACTTGCACAGGAGATGCTCTTGAAGGAGAGTTTCCTGACCCAAAAATGACCTACAATTACCATGCTTTCACATATTACTCAACAAATAACTTAGTAATGAAAAATGAACAAAATTAGAAGATAGTGAATATAGGTACCATTTGTCACTGAACAGACGATAGGAGAAGATATAAGATGTGCCCTAGCCATGGAAACTCACCACACTTAGTACACTACACTCTTGTAGATACCTTTTACAAGAGAAGAGAGGAATGAAATATTTTATAGGCAAAAAGACTCCATGAAATTTTACTCTTCTTAGGGCGAGATCAAATTTCATTGGTCCGCAGAAATTCATACACAACGCACATAGTCAATATTTTGTAGGAGAAGAATTGCAAAATAATCAAACATAACACACGTGTAAGAAACATTTAAAAGACTTGTACATGATTTAGTATTTTAGATTTTAATAATTAGTAACGTAAAAGTCTAAAAGGTTTGGAAAGACTTTGTGAATCACATAGATTTCTATAATGTATATTCAAAGCTAAAAAAATATCCATTAATGATAGATAAGATTTTATAAGGTTGGACAAACGAAAAAACAATAGAAAATTGAAACAATTTTTTCAATAAATAATTGATTGATTCTAACTTTCACACATATTTGAGTAACATTATCTAGGTATCTAAATATATTTTCTTTTAGCGTAATACTTTTACATAAAAGATAATATAATATAGTTATTTTGTTAGTTTATTAAATGTGTAATCCTAGGTCACTTATGAGTGCATAAATATAAATTAGGTTTTCTTCTTCATTTTATACTTGACAATTGGAGCTTCAGAAATTTAATAAGGAACTCTAAGATTAGTGATATGTAACTTGGAGTGTACCCTATGGTAATTCAACATGATAGGAAGTGAGGAATGTTTCGTGTATTAATATAGAAAGTTTAGAGAATAGTAAGAAAACAAACAAACTCGACCTCCGTGACATAGTGAGAATGATTTAAACATCAAATATAATATCATAGTAAATACAAAATCTTGACAATGTGTATTGTTGTAGTGAGAATGATTTAAACATCAAATATAATATAATAGTAAATACAAAATATTTACCATGTGTATTGTTATTAGAGGATAATGCTTTTACAACTCTATAATTTACAACACTTGTTAATTTTTTCCGTGTGGGTTGTGATCTAGATGGGTTAAGGTAAAAAAAAAGGCAAAAAGTGTACAAATAAAAAGTTTAAGGGCTAAAATAGTTTCAAAAAGTCTATATAATATAAAAAATCTAATGGGTCAAGACTAGCTCATAAGTCAATTTATGTGACTTGTTCTGAGATTAAGATAGACAAGGTTTGATTGAGCTTTGGTTTATTCGACTTTATCCTTCATGCAAGTATGTTACAACCTTAGTTCAAACTAATTTGTCTCGATCTTCGACTGAGACCATTTCTTTTTAACCTTCGGTCAACTAGCCCATCTCGATTTTCTATAGGTACCGTCATGACCTTCAACTCAAGTTAACCTATTTTGACCTTTGACTTCAGTAACCCGTGTTGACCTTTGGCTTATGCCAACCCTTGATAACCATCAACCCATGTGAGCATGTTTCGACCATTGTCTTGAGTCGACTCATATCAGTCTAAGACTTGGATTGACCCGTTTCTATACCTTCGACCTAAGTTAAGCCATTTTTACTTTTGTGAGACACAGGTACTCTAAAAATGAGAGGGGTTGAATACAATT